AGGTTACATCTCTATTTTAGGTCTATGTTACATCTCCTGTCCTCTTTACTGGTATATTTATGAGCCATACCTAACAGTAGATTATAATGAGATTTTGGTAGGGATGGGCATGGGAACCGAACCTGATGGGTTTTGATCCGACTCGATTCGATCATATATTTTTTTAAAGAAATCGAGTCGGGTCGGATTCAGATTTCATCTCAAAAAATAGGGTCGGGTGGAGGGTATATATTTTCGGATCGTATTGGGTCGGGTCGGGTGAAAGATATAAAATTTTCTAGTTGGGTCGGCCGAAACCCGACCCAAACATGACCCATGCCCATCTCTAGATTTGGCGATTAAAGAGAGTGTTATTTTTCTTTAAGGTCTTGAGTTTAAGCAATTGTATATGTAAGGTGTGTATGCGTTTTGAATGATTAAAAAAGATTATAAACATATACTATCATATAATCACTTCCACTATTCAAAAGAAAAAATTATTAATAATCACATATATAATAAATATCATTTTGAAAATTCTCTCTTCTCTTAGATTAACATTAAATTTTCACAATGAAAGATTGCTCTGCCTAACTTTACTTTTATTTGCTACACACTAATCTACCTCTTAGGAAGAGTAGAGTTTCAATTAACTATAATCGCAGCAGCAATGACTTAGTACTAACTTATGTCATTGATAATGCCATCAAGTGCAACCCTGTAAACCAATCGAGTCAATTTTGAGTATTGTTGAACACGGTTTAATTTGAAAAGTTTGAATATGAGGTTGATCCAATTTGAAAGTTTGCGAGTTTAAATTGTATCAAAAAATTTCAAATTGGATCAAGTGCAACCATGTAAAAGAATCGAGTCAATTTAAACTTTAAGCTTGATTCGAGCTCGAAAAAACTTAAACTTGAAATGTTTTCAAACTGAGCTCGATTGAATGTCGAACTCTAGTTCGGTTCAAGCTCAAACTTGAGCTAAAAAAAACTTATAAATGTTAATATTATTAATAATTTAATTTTAAAATATTTTTTTTGAGTTACTGGCAAACTTTTCGAATCGAATATCAAATAATTTGTTTTGATTCATTAAGAACTCGAATACAGTCTATTCAAATTAAATTTTAATCAAATCAAACTCGAATAACTTATTATCCTCGTGTCATTTATGCCCTAATCAAGTGAATCAAAACCTTGCTAGGAATTAAATTTGAACATTATTTTTTAAGCAAATGTGTTGGATTTTCCTAGAGAAATCCACTATTATCTACACCATAGGTGCAAGATAAAATTAGATCCATGAAACTGATGATTAAGAAGCTATTAGGTGTAGGACATAAATTACACCAATCAATACTAGCAAGTGACACCCCACCAATCCTTTCAAGAAAACTCAACATATAAGAGACAAGGTTTAGTGATCAAACAATTCTTAATTACTTAAAATGAACTTTGAGATTAATATTAGTTTAATTTTTCTCCTATTTTTATAAAAAAATAATTCATATATTAAATAGTAATTTAGTAATTAGAGTATATCTTATCTAAGAATGTGACACTGAAGTATTTTTATTTTTAATTTGACATAATTTTTTTAGTCATTAAACACATTTATTATCTATCATAAAATATTGATATGACACTCTAAACCTTATCAAGTGTATTAATTATACACTAAAATCTTTAAATAAAGTTAATAGTTTAATTTTGATGTTGTAAATAAAGTAAATTAGATTAGGAAGGTCGTTCCTATAATGAATCTATGTAGTATTTGATTTGAATTAGTTAATTAATAGATTAGATATTGATTGTTAATTAAAAAAATTATCAAGTGTTATATCAATATCATGTGAAAACTAAGTTACCTAATACATCTAAGTTTGGGCAAGGTATGAATTTGGTTTGTAATTATTGTTGATTAAGTACCTTTTAAGGGGTTTTGTGGAAGAAGTTGAGATATTGTTCGTCGATATGAAAATTTATTTATTTTATTAAATTTGGGTGTTCCATTAAATTTAAAATTGTCTCAAAATCCTTGTAGATTCAGCATTGGTGTCAGCATGGAAATTGTTATAGGAGGGCTTCAATTTAGTTTCGTACCCATACACATCTCAAAATTCAAGGATGGAGGACACCCATTCCCGTAAGGCACTTGGCATTCAAGCTCACAAGTTACCTCAAGCATCCATCTAAATTGAGAATCTTGAGGCTCCACCATCAACATCATACCCATACCTCAAGGAATGTTTTAGTGAACTATTTCAACTTCCACGCACTATTATAGCTGAAAATCTGATCCGTCATGCTCTGTTGTCATCCCTACTTAAATCTTCAAAAATTAAGATATTTTTCTGACAGATATTTTCATGGCCATCCCCAAAGCATATCCAAGCAGGCAAGCACCTCTGGTCCACACTTGTGCACCCATGTTGCCGCATATTGTCTATGTTGCTCCACCATTTCACTCCACTTTTCTGACAACGGTCTTCATGGTCATCCCCAATGCATCTCCAAGCACTGTGATCCACACTTTGTGCCCTATATGCCACACATTGTCTATGTTGCTCCACCATCCCGCTTGATCACTCCTGCACAAAGGCTCACAATGCTTGGCACGCCATCAAGGATCACCTATCCACAATAAGGTAGTCATGACAACATTTGGAATGGAGGGGTGTTAGAAGTGCAATCGTGATTCTTGAAAATTTTAAATTTTATATAATTTAGATATTCTTTATATTTTCTATGATAATTTAATTTCGTATATCTTAAAATTTTGTAATTTCATCTCTTAAATATCTAATATAAAATTTTAAATTCTTATTTTCTAATATAAATCATATATCTATCGTTAATGACATGGTAATTAATCGTGGGTAGTTCATGACATGTAAATAGTGGGTGGGTGACATAATATAAATAGATAAATATAAAATAGTGGTGAAAGCACAGAATGACAAGTAAAAGGCATCTGAGATAAGCTCTGTGGCCTCTACTACTTTAGAGATTCAGTGATTGTAGGCCTTTCTCCATCTCTGTCTTTCTCTTTCCTCTTCTTCTATCAAAGCTTACACAAGCTAACGTTTTCTCAAACCTCTATCACTTACTTTATTAAGGCAAAATCGCCCATATAATGAACTCAGGAAAAGATTGTCGCATGTTCTTTTCTTCAAATTATTTTCTAAAATACGGCGATTCTATAGTGATCGAAGAGGACAGCCAAATAATAAATCGTGTTTTTGGAAGACGATTAAACAACACGACATCTTTTAAATGTATGTAAAAGATGTATCATCTGCCCATCTTCCCGAAAAATGCCATGTCGTCCGATTGTTTCTGAAGTATTTTAGAAAGATTCCTACTTGAGAAATAAAAAAAATGAAATATTAAAATGAAATAAAATTAATAATTTAGAAATTAAACGTGTAGGTTAATCTACTAATTATTCTAGAGATGTTGGTATTGCATACAAGCTATAGCAGCAGCAAAACATAATGTGTCTCAGTTATTGTCTTAAGGCAAACATCATTGGTGAGAAACCTGGGTGACCCTCATAAAAGCACCCTTTAATCAACTTCAACTCAAATTTTTTTTAGCTAACATTAATGGTTCGCACTCAATTTCGAGTTCTTGTGCATAGTATAGCAGTCAAAGGTATCTTTTAATTGCTTTTTTTATTGTCTTTATTAAAGCAGCTAAGCGTTTAAAACTAGTCAGTTTGGGAATCCATGAGTGATCGGTTAAAAAATTGTTATTTTCTCTTGAAATCATGAATTTGAACAGTTGTGTCTATAAGATGTATATGTTGTCAATAATTAAAATAATCATGAACAATTACCCCTAAATTATTAAAAAAAAAAAGAAAATTAGATAATTCGGAAAATCTTCTGCATAGATGTAAGTGAAAGTTTAAAATAAACTTGTTAATATAAAGTTAAATATGGTATAAACCAATTATAATTAAAAATCTTATCAAAAACATAAATTTTTAAATTGAAAATGAAAATATTATTTGCTTCATTATATTTTTTAAAAATATTATAAGATATAACTTTCTCAGTTATAAGTTCAAAACTCACCATAATATAACTTTTTCAACCGACAAAGACGAAAAAAATCGTTCGAGGAAAGTCCAAAGGGTTAAATGGTAATTAACAGTGAATAATCCTTTCTAACCCGTACTATTCTATTGTTTTCTTTAGCTCTTGGTGACATAATTATTGTTTGGTAAATTGGATAATTTATCACACGAACATAAATTTAAAATTGAATTAAAATATGAAGATTGAAACTATCGAAATACACAACGGATAAATCTGTAATACTATTAAATATTAAGATACAATATAAAAAATTAATTTTAAACAAATAAAATAAACAATGAAGAAAATATATCGATTTTACAAGTTTAACAAAACACCGTTTACTGCTAGAATCTCACTGTCACATTATAACTTCATTATTGTCAAATTATTGCTCACAAGTGAACTTTCTTAAAAATTCCCAAATATTACAAACGAGAGAATCAAATATTATCAACGGGTACAATAGGTGTTATTGTAATCATTGTAGGTATCACGACCATGCGATAACGGTTCTGGACGACATCAAAATTATTATATAACGGCTACTATTCCGATAACATAAGTGAATTTAAATAGTTTTATATTAAGACGAAAATGATGAAAACTAAATTATAAAATTTTTGAGTCAAAATAATAAAGTGTCAATGAAGTTTTGATTTTGAGTTTGAGTGGAGTAAAATAGACTTGAAAGAAATATTTCATTTTATTTTATTTTTACATTTTTGTATTTTTATAATTTATCTTTTATTTTATTTTATAAATTTAAATACGGAAAATATTAAATTATTAATTTTATTTAAAAGTAAATTTTATAATTAAAATAATTAAATAAAATATACTTACATATGTTCATTCCATTTTTATTAAGCTTATTTCAATTTCAATTGTACAAAAGTTTATTAATATGAACATTTCACTGCAAAACAGGCAAAGGAAAGACCAACATTTCCAAGCTCACAGTTTGGTTAGGTCCTGGGAAACGCATACACATTGAGCCCCTCAGCCATGTGAAGGGTGAACATGGTTCGATACTTAGCCTCCTTCGACTCATCGACAAGTCGGAATCGGAAGAAGTAAAGGAGAACGGCAGACATGATTTTCATTTGACGGTATGCAAATTCCTTTCCCAGGCAGATGCGAGGCCCAGCCTGAAATGCGGTGAACTTAAAAGGGCTCTCCGGACGGAAATGGCCGTTATCATCGAGCCATCTTTCGGGCCGATATTCGACAGCATCTTCTCCCCAGACATATGTCATTCTTCCCATGGCATAGGCCATGTAATTTATCCCATCTCCTTTCTTTACTTTAAAACCATCAGGCAGAACATCATCCTCTGCCGAAAACTTACCATCCTGCATTCGGAATCGAAGCGGATTAATGTTATTTTTTTTTCGAGGCAAACGAAAGTGCTTTTATGGAAATATTACCACAGGAACTGCAGGATAAAGTCGAAGTGTCTCGGTTATCGCCGCGTGAAGATAATGCATCTTGTCTAATGCTTCATCCGTCATCAACCTCGAAAATTCATCAGCACACATGTTATCCTTAGCTCGTGTCACGTCCCAAACTTCCTCGACGACCTTGTCCCAAACACCGGGATGTTTGAGAAGCACGTAGAAGAACCAAGAGAGTGTGCTTGCTGATGTATCTTTGCCTGCTATCATGAAATTGAGAATTATATCTCTCAAATATCGATCATTCATGTTCTCAGGGTCCCTCTTGCTCTCCATCAAGAACCTTGACAAGATGTCTTCCTTGTCTCTCTGCTCACACTAGGAATAATTACTTAACAAGTTTCACAAGTTACCATTAGTGGCGGAAATGGAATTTACTCACCACAAGCTTTTCGTCTTCCATCTGCTCTCTCTTCCGTTGAATCAACTCGAAAATGAAGTCATCTATGATCTTGACGTTTCTCTTAAGATCGGCTTCCATTCCTATATTGAGAAACCTCTTAACTTTCCATAGCACATCAACGTATCTCCAAAACACAATGACGTTAGAGTCGTCGAAAGCCTTGGCGAATCGGTTTGCTGACTCGACAGAACCCGAGAGCGAGTTTAACTCAACTCCAAACCCCACCTTGAAAATCGAATCTAAAGCCGATTTCATGAACAGATCCTGCAAAGAATGCCGAATTTGGAAACAAAAAGTTACTACAAGCAAGAATCAATCATAATTTGTTGTATTTCTATGGAATCTCCTCCGCACACTCAAACGTCCATAGAATTCCTTCGTAATAGAACTCTGGAGTGAACATCATCTGAGAAAGGATCTAAAAGACCTTGTATCTCTCGATAAATCACGACTATTAACATGACCTTCGACAAGTATGTTATGTCGAAATCAAAATCAATTAATATATGATCACATCAATTAAGCTTGTCATTAAACCTGTTAACCTACGAACAACTATCATTATGGTACGTCTTACATTAACACTAAGAATCATTATAAAAATCCCAACCAAGGCTGAGAGATGAATATGAAAGACTTTATTCAAGTTGGTCTCAAAAAATGTGCAGATCCTATGCTACTTTTAAAAATGAGTCTTTATAATATTTTATAATAAAGAATAATTTGTCAAATTTGAAATTATAAGAGATCTACGATAATTTTTTTATACTATAGGTCTGTTTCTTTCACTGAAAACGTTTACCGGAAAATGAATTACATTTTCTGAAAAACATTTTCTGGAAAACGTTTTACGATATTGTTTAAACACTTTTTCCACTAGTTGGTGAATTTTTTAGAAATTATTTATTACAAATATTAAATACAATAAATAATATTATTATCATAAAACTTAATATTATCATTTTTAAAATATTAAAAAATTATTTATTATTAAAATATTGTTTTTATAATTTTATTAATAAAAATATTAATATTGGTATATTTTATTGAAATAAAAATATTATAAATTATATTAATTATTTATTAAAGTAATAGTGATATTATATTTTAAAAATAATAATTACTATATTTTAAATATATTTATTAAAATATTATTAGATTATTAGATTAATATTAAATATATAAATAATATTATTCATTATTAATAATTTAATAATATTAGTATATGAAATTAATAAATAATATAAATTTTATTAATAATTTATTATATATTATTAAAATAAAAATATAATATAATATATTATTATAATATAATTGATTATTTTATTATAATATTAAAAATATTATATTATATTATTAGAAATATTAATAAATATATTTTAAATATTTTAATAATTAATATTTTGATTAAAATGATATTAAAATATTTTATTAATATTAAATTCATAAAATAAAATTATTTTGAGTATTTATTCTATGAAGTGAAAAATTCGGAAAATGACTTACGAAAAATCAGACCGTAAGTCATTTTCCAGAAGACACAAAAGAAATTCTGTTAATCAAGAAAATATTTTACGTTGACCAACTAGTTTTCCTCTAACCAAATACTGAAAAATGATGAAAATATTTTTCGGAAAACGTTTTATGTGAAACAAACAAACCCTAAAATTCATCATAGAAACAATTGAAGATAATGTCAAAATCTTAATTTGCAATTTTCTTTATCACTTGCTCGAGAATAAAATGAAATTTTTGTTTTCTAAAATGTTGTTAGGACGCAAAATTTATACATAAAAAGCCTAAATGACATTCATATGTAGAAGTCCAAATTATAAGACCCTATGACATGTCAAATGTCACACTCGTATGTAGACGAGCCCCGACTCCATTCACTCTTTAATCCTCTATCTTTTTATGAAAACTTTAAATTTGAACAACGACCAATCATCACCGATCCATTAAAACGAACCTGCAAATCCATAACACGGTTAACTAGAGCCAAAGTGGAAACTTTTGAGACCAATTTTGCAGCATTATCACGAAACACAGCACTACTATAGTCCCTCAAAACTCTGGTCGAGAACTCGTAGCTCGCGAGCTTCCGTTGATGGCGCCATTTCTCACCATCTACAGCAAAGATACCATCACCGAACAGGTCTCTCATTATCTCAATATGGGCACCCTGCATTTCCACAACACCAAAACATCACACACAAAAAAAAAACAGAGCATTAAACGAAAAGGGTTTAAAGATTTAAAGGCTATACCCTTCCATAATTAGGGAAATTGGTCCTTAGTATATACTTGATATTAACAGGATCGGCCGTATAAATCTCGCTATACAACGGCATGATCAGCCTGAAAGTTCGATGATTCTTGGCCAGGGATGTTCCGTAATCAAGGAGTGTGTTGAAGTAAAAGAGTTGGTGTAACATTGATCCAGCTATGGGAGGCCGTTTGTCCTTTGATATCAGCTCTGGAACATGGAGCAATAAGAACAGAAGTGCAAATATTAGCAGGAGCAAAGCTAATGCTCCAAGCAGAGCTAGAAAATTTTGGGTTGAAAAGAAAAGGGCTATGAGAAGTAAGAGGAAGGAAGAAGAAAGCAAGAAAGCTGCCATGGATGGCTCAGCCCAGAGGACTTGAGAGATGAGTGTCTGAATTCTCCGTCGAAGAACAAGTTGAATATGAGCCAGAACTTTGTTAATATCGAGGCTGTCGTAGTCAATCACCGATTGTTAATTGGTCAACTTTATATTTAATCACACTGTTATCACTTAGTTATATTTTCGTTATTCAATTATTTTTTAAAATCATATTAAAGAATTAATTTAATATTATTTTTTTAAAAATAACTTAAAATTGTTTTAAAAAATTACATTAAATATGTTGGTAAAAAGTACATTTTTTTAAAAATTTAATTGTATGATATAGTTGTTAAAAATAATTTTAAAAAAATAAAATGTCAATTTTAAACATTATAGTGTAAATTGAATATACTATTTGAATTAAATTTACACTTATTCATATTATAATATTTGAAATATATCAACTTAAACTATAATAAAATTATAAAAAGTATTTATGATAATTCATTAATAATATTTTTATATATGAAATATTTATTAAAAAAATCTTTTATCAATACTTTTCAACATGTCAACTTAAAATTATTACGAAATAATAATTTTTATATTTATTTTAACAATAAAATAATATATATATATATATATAAAGTAAAAAAATCTTTTAAGTTCTATCAATTTATGTTTAACAATTAATTTGAATATTAATAAAAAAACTAATAAATAATTATATATGTATGAATACTATTTAAAAATCAATTAAAATTAAATAATTGAGGATAAAAATATAATTTCACCCCAAAAGTGATTTTTCACAAAATCATTCCCAAAATCACCTTTATATTATATTTTAATTTCGTTTTGACCATCTACTGTAAGAAAAAAAGAAGTTAAACTACTAACATAATTTTTTTTTTATTTTTTAATAATGATGTAACATTACTTTATATTAATATGTCAGCATCATCATTAATTTTTTATGACGGATGATTAAAATATAAATAAAATATAATTTTAAATATAATTTTAAAAAAATAGTTAAAATAATTCAAATAAAATTAAAGTGATAATCGAGTAAATAAATATATAGTTTATCCATAGTTAATATCTCCTTAGCCGCCCGAACCTTTATTGTAGACTTGGTGACAAGTGAGTGAGTCACGACTTTGGATTGTTTGACTTTTTAGCTATAAGGATACAAAATTTTTGCGTGGTGTAAAACACGATTACATTCGATTCCAAAAAATGATTTTTAAAATTTAATGTTAATCGAGTTAAATTAGATTTTAATTTCAGATTTTGAGTCTAATTTGATTTTAATAATTTTACAATTTAGTTTTTGATTTCTTTTTTTTAAAGGTTTTTTAAGTTTTTTTTACTAAATCGGACACTGTTAGATCATTATAAATACCCATGTAACTTCAATTCGCTTTCATGGAAACTATTTTTTTAAATTTATTCTATTAACTTTACATGGTTTCGTATTTCTTTTATTGCTCATAGTTTTAAGTTCATTTTTTATCAAATTTAATCTACACGCTTCACTAACAATATAGAATTTTTATATAACTTTAATTCTTATTATTAATAGAAATTTTGTTATTTTTGTAATTTCGTCCTATTTTAATCAATTTGATCCTTTGTTGATTTTTTTGTAATTTTTTCTTCTCATCAATTCTTTTAACTCTTTCGTACTCACATCAATAATTTATCTCAAAAATATATTATTTAAAGATAGCATTATAAATATATTTTATAATTTTAAATATTATTTGGTTTATTAAATACCATAACAAATCTTACTTACATATGTGAAAAAGAACATGAAAAAAATATATGAATATCTTATATGATTAGTGAAATTCATTTAAATTGAAGCCAATATATATCATAACATTATAAAATAATTATAATTAATTTTAAAGAGAAACTTGAACAATTCGACTCGAGTCAAATTTCATAAACTTGGTTTAACTCGAAAAATTTTCAAATAAGTTTTGAATCATAAAATATGACTCATCAACTCGACTAAATTAAAATATTTTTACTCGAATCGACTCAACTTGATCTAATACTCACTTTTAATACTCAACTTGATTTAACTACTCAACAATATTGTATATGTTCTACAGATTCTCAATAATTTGACAATGAAAGCTCAGTACCCTTGCAGTCTCTAGTACTTGAACTTAAGACCTCTTCAGATAACAGTGGTGGATCTAGAAATTTAAGATTAGAGGTCCAAAAATTTAATAATATTATTTTAAAAAATTGTGTACGTTAATTTTCTTCTTTTTTTACTCGTTCATTTAATATATTAAATTAAATTCAATAGGTTTTTCAAAATAATGAGTATGCAATTGAACCTTTCAAAGGCTTCATATATCCGTCACTAATAGGTAACAACCATTCTTTTAAATATTAAGATAATTTAGTTTGTGCAATTAGTTTACGTGTGTATGTGTGTGTCCTTATACATCGATCATCCTTGGGATCATAATAGGTTTAGGGATATGAAGTTTTCACTTATATGATCATGATATATTCTTTTGCAAAAGATAAAATAAAAAATATTTTTTAATGTTTTATTATATAGTTATTTTGACATTTATTCTTATAGAGTATTTTGACTTTTAACATTTTATTTCAGAGTAAAATGGTTTTTTCGTGGATGGATATCGTTAGTCAACAAATGATTAATACTCTAAAATAGGAACAATTTTGTTGTAAAATGAAATATTGGGAGCCAAAATGTTAAAAAAAATAAAATAAAGATTAAAGTAATTATTTAATCAAATATTTGAAGCCTTTCTATCCTAAAATAAAATATTAAGTGTCAAAATACTTAAAAAAATAAATCAATATAATTTTTAGTCAAACATTAATGAATTTTTTTTATATTATACCTTTACAAAATTAAATCGCAATAAGCTTAATTGGTTTCCTTGTAACCATTAGAATCATCGTGTAGCTCTAGCGTTGTAAATGAGACGAAACATATCGTAAGTTATTCGAGTTTGATTTGGTTAAAATTTAATCACCACTTGAATCGGTTGGATTTGAATTAAACTCCAACTCGACTCGAGTTCTTAACAAGCCGAAGCGAGCTACTTGATATTCGACTCGAAAAGTTAGCGAACAACTCGAAAAAATAATATTTTAAAATTTTATTATTAATAATATTGAAATTTTGCTTAATTTCAAAAAAAATAATAATAAGTGTTCAAACTATACTTAAAGTTAACTTTTGGTGCCTAAAGAATTTTTCATTAAAAATAGTGCATAACATTTTCTCCGTTACACTTTTAGGTACCTATCGTTAAAAAATTCGTTAAGTGACACATATCATATTTATATTTAAAAAAATTAAATGATATTGTATTTTAAATTATTTTTAAATAATATAAATATGACACATGTCATTTAACGATATTTTCTTTAACAGTATATCTTAAAATTATAACTGAAAAAACATTAAATATATATTTTTTAAAAATTCTTTAATCACAAAAAATAGTTTTGAATATAATTTGTACATTTATTTTTGCTTAATCGTTTTCCGTAACTTAAATATCTTACCTGAGAAATTTCCCCGTACAATTCAAGGTCAAGAAAAGAATATGATAAATTACATCTAAGTCACTTTATTACAAGTTTGATAATAAACAAATTATTTTAAAAACAATTATTCAATTAAAATATTATTAGATGTTAAAATTAGGAGAAATGTTTAATATAGTATGTATAACAACATTTTTAATCCTTAAAAGTTATATATTTTTATCAATTTTATCATAATTTGAAACAATGCAATAAATTCAACTTTTCATTTTTTTGAATTTCATCAATTTAATATTTTATGATATTTTCAAACCAAACGAGTCCATCGAATCAAGACAGTAATTGGATAATTACATTCTTTCATAACGTAATAATAAGTTATTGTCAAACCGTTGTTATATCATGAAAGTAATATAATACTTATGGTAGAAGAATAATGACTAAAATGTAATTTTTAAAATAAAAAAATATATAAATTTTAAGGATTAAAGTGATTATTATATCAATCAACACCCTTATTTCATATAATATTTGACGACTGACTTTAGTTTGTAATATTTTTAATTAAGACCTATTTATATAACTTTGAGAGGAAAAATGACATATTTGTTATGGAAGAAACAATTAAGTGACCTTGATTGTAATTTACCCAAAAAAATTTGAAGACGAAAGCACAAATCACATTATCTATTTGTTCCCTCCGTCTCTGAAGTCTAAACCACCAAACCTAAATCTTCCCAATTGGCCATCACTTCCCACAAACATTGTCGTCTCGGGTGGGTCATGACCCTGACCCGCTACATTCAATACCCGAAATCCCACCGGAGCCGCCGCCGCCATGCGCCTCGTAGTACCTCTCCAAGGCGTGGTCCAAGGAAGAGGAGGACTAATCTTGGGCTCTCTTATCCCATGCGCTCTCTTTTACTTCCTCCAACTCTACCTTAAACGACACCGTTCTCCTCCTTCTCCGTCCGCCTCCTCGCAGAACCTGGCGGAGATGACCCGAACTTCTTCACGCTCCAATTTGCTCTCACGCGGCTCCATCGGACCAGTTCGGATATCTTCTTTGGCCGCTTCCATTTCTAAACCCAACGACTCGCCCTATTATATCGGGTTGGATAAGGCCACGGAGGATCCGTACGACAGATTTGGTAATCCAGATGGGGTTATCCAACTCGGCTTGTCAGAGAATAGGGTGAGTATTTGCTTTTAAACATGGTTCTTTTGCGTGGCCTATACATGTATTGATTATTTCTTGTTTCTTTTAAAAATTTCTTTTACAGTTGTGTTTTGATTTAATTGAGAAATGGATGTTGGAAAACTTGACCGATTCGATTAGGGGAAGAGATGGGGATGATTTGAGCATTAGCGGGATTGCCTCTTACCAGCCTTTGGATGGAACAATGGAGCTCAAAATGGTAATCTCTATAATTCATCATCTTTTGGTTTTATTGAATAATTAAATGGGCTATAAGTTTCTGTTGCTTTTTGGGGTGAATTTGATATCTGATGGTGAATTACCTGTTGTCAGTTTCCCGGTGAAATTGCTAGTTTGCCGGTCAAACTGGTGAAATTTATCACATTTAAAGTGATTAAACTTAATTGGTTTAAGAGTTTAAGAATCAGAGATGTTATGAACTTATTATAATAAGATTTTCTTTGCTTGGCTTTAAACCGGTGAATGTCGTCAAAATACTTCCGACTATAGTTCTTTTTAAATGTGAGGTACATGGTCTGGGTTGCGAGATGTGGAGCTACGAAAGAAGCTGCATGGTTTAGTAGTTTATACCTTTTTTGGCATCACTTTCATCACCAATCATAGTTGGAATGCCAAATGCCTTCTAGACTCTCTGGTTCTATTTCTTTTTGTATTTATTCCGGATTTTTTTTTATATTTACAGGCTATGGCAGATTTTATGTCACATGTTATGGGAGGAGCTGTCTCATTTGAACCGTCGCAAATGGTTTTAACTGCTGGTGCGACTCCTGCAATTGAGACATTATGCTTCTGCTTGGCAGATCATGGGAATGCATTTCTTGTTCCCACACCTTACTATCCTGGGTAACTCTTTGACCTTCATTCCAAGAGTTTGTATTACTACAAATACTCCGTGGTCCCATTGATTTAACTAGGAAGAAAAATGTCTTCAGTTTTGACAGGGACATGAAATGGCGAACAGGAGTGGAATTAATACCTGTCCATTGTCGGAGCACTGACAATTTCATGTTAAGTATCAGTGCGCTTGATCAAGCATTCAACCAGACAAGGAAGCGTGGAACAAAGATTCGGGGAATTCTCCTTTCAAACCCTGCAAATCCTGTTGGCAACCTACTTTCTCGGGAGATGCTTTGTGATCTGTTGGACTTTGCTCGAGAAAAGAACATCCATATCATATCGGATGAAATATTCGCAGGCTCTATTTACGGGAACGAAGAGTTTGTCAGCATTGCTGATGTTCTTGATTCAGAGGATTTCGATAAAAGCAGGGTTCATATTGTTTATGGGCTATCAAAGGACCTCTCTCTTCCAGGATTTCGAGTCGGAGTGATCTATTCTTTTAATGAGAATGTATTGGCTGCTGCTAGAAAGTTAACTAGGTTTTCTTCTATTTCGGCCCCAACCCAAAGACTGCTAGTTTCAATGCTGTCGGATGCAAGATTCATCGAGGAATATATGGAGACCAATAAAAAGAGGATACGGAATATGCATGATTTATTTGTGTCTGGTTTGGAAGGATTAGGTATTAGATGTGCAGATAGCAGTGCTGGCTTGTATTGTTGGGCTGATATGAGCAAATTAATCCCCTCTTATGGTGAGAAAGGGGAACTTGAGCTATGGGATAAGCTATTAAATGTGGCTAAGATCAATGTGACTCCTGGTTCAGCTTGCCACTGCATAGAACCAGGATGGTTCCGGTGCTGTTTCACAACCTTGGATAAGGAGGATATTCCTGTAGTTATGGAAAGGATCCGAAAAGTTACCGATTCCCGAGCATCATGAAGTTGAAAATGCTAAAAGTCTTTCTAAAATCACAATCAGTTTGCAGGTGCAGTTGCAGTTGCAAGTGCATTGATCATTGATTTCTGTTTGATGCCGATGGAGATTCTTCCTGTGGTTGACAATTTCTGGAAAATGATGCTTCCTTGAATCAATGCGATGGCAGTTCCAATTCCAAAGGCAAAGATAGTAAAGCACAACATCCACATGAGGTCTTTCCTTGACAAGTCACTCATGTGTAGGACATTTGAACACCACACATTACTTGATTTCCAAATAGATCTCTTATTTTTTCTTTCTTTCTTTTTTACAAATTTTATGATTTCCACATACATATGTGATCAACTTTAATTTTTTTAATCAACTTATTGAATAATATATTTATAATTAGTGCAATTAGTATAACGGGAACGATTCAGAGATGATTAGCATGGCTCCTACATAAGGATGACACGTACAAATCGAGAAATAGTTGAAAATAATAATTAAATTATAGAAACTATTTAATAATTAAAATAAATCATAATTGAACATTTCTTAGGTTTTTTTACTCAAATATCACCTTTAAAAAATAATACCTAAAGTAACATCATTTTCGTATTACTTCTTAGATTGACAATTTTTTTTTGCGCTACGTAGGGTAAAGGCAAAGATAGTAAAAAAATATTAAGATTGGATAAAAAAAATCGGTCAAAATAAAAGGAAAATGGACAAAATATATAAATAAATTTTAAGAATTTTATCAAAAATAAGAAAAACGTAATATGTTTTATGCATGATCATGAGTTAAACGACATCGACGACACGCATATTGATCTTATCTTCAAACACTCATTGAGCGTATGTTTAAAAGTTTATATTTAAACAAGAATTTATACTAAAACAATGTGAGATTTGAAAATCTCATGGTCAAACATTTTGATTTTAAACTATTAAAGATATATTTTAAATTTGATCAGACCTATATCAATACGATAGTTAAAGTCAGTTTTGAATACTGACATTCATAAGGTAACAACAGACAGAGTTCAAGACCTAAGTTTGATTAAGTTCAAAACAATAGCTCAAAATCAGTAACTTTAGCATGAGATTTTCGAATCTTACATCGTTTAGATATATTTTTTTTAAGTTTTTAAATATAATCTTTTAAACATGTATTTATTGAACGATTGAAGCCAAGACTTATATATATATGTCATAGTTATATATATGTCTTTCACATATACCGTACCGTAATTTATAATAAAAAAATCTGTAATTTTTACATTTTAAATATTTTTTATCTTTTATTTTGTCCAATAATAACGTCACGTGAACAAAAATATCTCTGATGTGGGTATAAAAGAGTACTAATATGAAAAATAAACTAAAATGATGATATTGTGAATATTAATTTTTAAAGATAATATTTTAATAAAATTGGGGTTCGATATTACAGTGTTGGTGTCATTTTCCCCTTTGTTAGACTTTCATAGTGTTTTCAAATTTCAAAACGTGATGGATATGAGGATTTTTTTTCTAGTTTTCTAATTAAATAAATCTATTAATATTATTAATTTAATAAGAAACATGTTAAGAGTGGAATTAAATTCGCATACTATTAAAACGTTAGTTTTTTTGAATTAGGATTAAATTAAAAATATATAAATTTTGAAGGTTAAATTTATTATTAAACTAATTTTATTAATTGTCACGTTCCAAAGAAAGAGGATTACTTAGTTAATTTTTAAAAAGTGATTGATTATTCTGTAACTTTTCATAATTGAGTAACTTAAAAGAAAACGACTTATAGTCAGGGGAACTATTATCGTATTTTATCCTAAAGTCTTATCATTCAAAAAAAACTCCCATAAAGCCTGGTAATGGGAAATTAACGAATATGAAACGTTGGATCCAAAGTAGAAAAAGAAAGAAAAAGAAATCAAACGGTGCATACTGATAGATGTGATTTGAAATTCAAATCCGCTCGATTCCTACTCAATTTGCTTCTTCATTCTTCATTTTGCTGCAAATCCAATATTGATATCATTTTTTTTAACAAAAACGATCCATCGAAAGCAATTTTGAATTTCAAATCACATCTATCAGTATGCACCGTTTGATTTCTTTTTCTTTCTTTTCTACATTCCTAAAGTCTCTCTTGCTTAAGGTTCGTCTCCTCTTTGCTTTCTTTTATATTTCAATTTATTGCTATATTTGGCCGACGAGTAATGTAGGAATACTACTTTGTATCAGCTGATTCTGAATTTTTTGGCGATTAATACGTTATAATTTTGAATAAATCACGACTGTCTGTTGGCTGAAGCAATTTTGTTAATATTTACCTCCGGTTTTAGGTCTAAGCTTTGGAACTTGCAAATGATCTTTTTATTTTGTATGGTAACAAGTTGATGGAATTGGAGTAAACTGATGGTCATGGATCGAGTGTCATCAATTGTCATTTTCTATTTTCTTTGACATTTTCATCCTAATATCTTATCTCTAAGCAGTTCCTACTTCCTATTAAAATTTTATTTCAACTACGATTTAGTATAAAACCGATGCAGATTCAGAGTCCTGTATACTAAATATGTGGATGATTTTGACAGATTCTTAAGTTAAGCTTTGAACTTTAAAGTATTGCAAGCATTCATTTTCAAAGCTTTAACTTATCTACTTGGTGACTGCAACTTGTGTATAATTTTGGATGTCTTTTGATTTCTGAGTATTTTCTTTTGGCAGGAATTGTTCAACATGTCTACTCCACAAAGCGAGCCACTTCTTCAAGTGGAAACAACATGTGCCCTTCTATATGAACTTCAGGTATCATTGAACATCATTCACAATGGTTACCTTGTATTTTCTTTATTAGTCAGATGATAAATTTGTACCTTCCTATTTTAATTTTAAAACTTGAATATAATCTAATACATACTTTGATGATCCATTGAGAAAATTAGATAATTTGGGATGAAGTGGGTGAGACAGATGCTAACAGGGATGAAATGCTGCTTGAGCTTGAATTTAGAGTGCCTGGAAGTATACAGAAAAAAGGTGGATCAGGCAAATCGCTGTAGAGCTCAGCTCAGATAGACAATTGCCGACTCTGAAACTGAACTTGTGGCCATCTGTTTAGCAATGGATGAGAGGCTAGTGCATATTAGGCAGGTCAAAATGAAGGATAACAAATCCTGTAATCCTGGATAAATTTTTTCCCTTTAGATTGAACTTTTTACTGATCTTATTGTTCACAAATTTTCAGTCAGATCAAAATGATGGAAGTTTGAAGGAGGAGCTAAGCAAAATTTTTCCTCAATTGGAGGAAATGAAGAAAAGGAAGATTGAAAGAAGAAATCAAATCGTACAAGTTTTACAGCAAATACAAATTATCACAAATGAGATTTGTGAATCAGCCAAATCAATTTGTTCTTAAACAATTATGGATGAAAGTGACATATCCTTAAGGAAACTTGAAGAATTGTTCAGACAACTCAATGAATTTCAAAAAGAAAAGGTTAGGCTTTTATTTTCCAATTCTTTATTGATTCAACCTCATTATAACAAATGTTTATCTTTTCTATGTTATTTTCTTTCTTGTGAAGAATGATCGTCTGAAGCAGGTTGAGGACCACCTTAGCGTGTTGAACTCACTCTGCTTGGTGATGGGCATGGATTTCAAGCTCATGTTTACTGAGTTTCATCCTAGTTTAAGTTACTCAGAAGGATTTAGGAGTGTTAGCAACATAACAATTGAATAGTTGGCTACATTGATTAAAAAGTTACAGGAAGTTAAGATACAGAGAATACAAAGGGTAAAATTATTAATTTCTGCATTTCTGTGCATTGCAAAATCCATCTCCATTCTCTCTGACTACAACATAATTCCTTGACCCATGGCAGCTACAAGATCTTGCTACTACTATGTTGGAATTATGGAATCTGATGGATACACCTATTGAGGAGCAACAAATGTTTCAGAATGTTACGTGTAATATAGATGCTTCAAAGCATGAAATTACTGAACCCAACACGCTCTCTATGGATTTCATCAAATATGTTAGTGATACATGTTTAAACGCAAAGCTCACTGATTTTATCTAGGATTTATAAATATTTGAAAGTAGTAAAGTGCAGGTTGAGGCAGAAGTTTCTTGGTTGGAAGAGTTGAAGTGTAGCAAAATGAAAGAGCTTGTCTGAAGAAGAGATTAGAGCTAGACGAGATCTGTAGAAAGACACATCTGGTTGTTTCACAAAGTGTGATCGAAGATGCCATCAAAACTTTTGAGTCTGGTAAATACATATGCTATATTACTGTTAGCAAACTCTCAATTCCACTCCTTATGCTACTGAATATCATTCATACTTTTCATATGTAGGGGTTGTTGATGCCGCTAACATATTAGAACAAATTGAACTTCAAATTCCTAAGTTCAAAGAGGAAGTTTTTAGCAGGAAATAAATGCTTGAAAGGGTGGGAACATGGTTGATGGCATATGATGAGGAGTGTTAGCTTGAGGAATATAATAAGGTGGGCGTTCTTTATCTCTTGTTGTATAGGATTTTGATCTTTAGTATGGTTTCCTAGCTTAAATGTTTGTTATCCAACAAGATGAAAACTATATAATGCGGGAAAAGGTGCTCATCTTACACTCAAGCGTGCTGAAAGCTCGTTCTCCGGTTAATAAACTTCCAGGTAATTAATACATTCTAGATAAAAGGTTGAGAAATGTAAGCTTTCACATTACTTAGCAGGGCTGGTTGTTATGAATTTCACATTATTCGAGGTTCTTATGATCCTATCAATCATTTCTACCTGTTTTGATTAGAATAAGTCAACACAGTGTTGAAGTTATTTTATAATATTAACCCAGGAATGGTGGAGGCGTTGGTTTCAAAGACTATGGCGTGAGAGAAAGAGACATGGGTCGAATTTTTATTTGATGGTGTCAATATTCTGATAATGTACAACCTAAACCTTTATGACAATAGAGAGAGAAGTTGCTTACACTTTTGGAATATAACTGAACCTTTTTAACACTATTCAAATTTGTTTTTTAACTTAGCACATCTATTGATCCCACTGACCCCGATAGTTTACCCCCACACATCTACATGGTTCGTGACTCTTCGAGAGATGAGGACCAACTGCAGAACCCGATCATAAGTGAAAAGACCCGAGCGAGGCACCAAGTGAGCAGCCGAGAGATGTTTTTCTGACGGCGGTGGCTGAGGTTCAGCCTCGCCAATCCCCGTGAGGGTGTTGTGCTGGAACTATCAAGGGCTTGGGAACCCATCGACAATTCGGGAGCTACGAAGAATTATCTCCAAAAAGGAACCTCTGTTTGCTTTTGTTTCGGAAACCAAACTAGGAAGAATAAAGTTGAGTCCATAAGACTTGCTACTCGGATGTATGGTTGCTTTGCGGTTGATCGATCGGATGATTGTGTAGGACTTTTGTTGTTTTGGAAGGAGGGAATAATTGTTTCGCTGAAGAGTTATTCTAG